AAACACAAACACCTGCCTGAGATCATGTCGGAACTCCTGTGGGTGGGGAGAGGTGGTTGGATGGTGGTTGGATGGTGGACCAAAAAAGAACGGCCAGCTTGGTTTTTCTGCTCCTGTGCCAGGCCACTAGGCAAGCATGGTGTGTTTTCAGTCCTACCAGCCAGAAAAAGGAGGACTGACATGTTGTATCAGTGTTGTTCAGCTTCTGCCACTGTGCCTGTCTCCCCCCCCCCCTCTCTCTCTCTGTGTCCATCTCGGACCTCTTCGTCTCTCCGACACACACACACAGCAGCTACACGATCAAAGATGCGCAACCCTGGCAAAACCATGCAGAGAAAGGTTGGATGACTGAAGAGCTGTCCCGACATTTCCATTTCGCTCAACCAGCACCTTCTTCAGTGCATCAAGGACCTCCCATCCAGGAAGGGGCGAGGATGAGGATGGTAGTCATGAGTGTAGTATGTGCATATATAGTCTATATAGTTTAATATAATTACCAAAAATAAGCCCACGAGTGCAGCTAGATGTGGAAGCACAAGGAAGATAAGGAGAACCTATTCACCTATTCACAATATACATTATAAGTTGATGCATCGAATAGAACTGGGACCACACAAATAGGTCCACCAATGCATCGTTGCACCCCTCTGAAGACGGGTTCTTCACCTGTCCAAGTCTCTGGACCAGTCTGCGTCCAAGGAACCCAACCACTGGTGTCAGACTCCACATCATCACTTCCACTTTGGCCACTTTGGTGTGGATTGCCCATCGAAGTTGTAACACCTCATACACACGGCCCTTTTGGAACGCCCAAACGACTGGGACACGTGCTAGCTCGCTGCTATAGTAAATGCTGAGCCCAAACGACTCGTGAACCAAAAACACGACTTGGCCAGGGAGCTGCTCGGCGCTTTGCCAGTTCCATCCAGGCTTGGACGGACATTTTGAACCTGCCGAAGTCGAAACTGATGAGCTCGGCGAACTGGGGCCACTGGCCGTGTCTAAGTTATGCACGTCGGTTCCTTGGAATTATGTCTCTCGAAAGAGTGCACTTGGGGGGTCTTGAAATTGAATTGCCACAGGCCACAGTGGGGGTGTCCCCATGAAATCGGCTCATTTGGTCCATTCCAGTGCCTCTTCTTGCAAGGCTGCTGCTGCACTCCTGTCTGTCAGTTAAAATGTATCAATCTATAGAAAGGGTCAAATTTGCTCCTCCCCACTATATAACCTCCTTCTATCTTCAGGAGAATATGTTGAAGCATTGTCTCGCTTTCTCATCGTTGGCCACTTCCTTCGGATTCTCCATGCAGCAACTTTCGGTGCCGTGTAGGTGCGTCCTCATCTCGCCAATCTTGGACGTGAACGATGCCAATTCACTTTCCAAGTACCTCAGCATGTTCCAAAAAAGCTCGCGGTGCCAATGCGGTGCCAATGAAAGTATGTCTTTTCTTTTTGCCATGTTACTGCAAGCGCGCTTCTGTCGGAGGCTGGCCCTGGCGGTGCAGATCTTTCGATCAAAGCCCCTGACCGATGTATCAATATCAATCAAGACAGCGTGGTGAAAAATCCTGGACAAAAATGGAACCTCTTTTGACACGGCGACATTTTCAACCTCACTCTTTCCTTCTGTAGATCGCAGGATATTTTGGACTAACACTACATACACTCAAGTCACAAGCTCCATATCTCAGCAATCTCATCAAGTCACAAGGCCCGCTCAGCCCTGACACTTTGCCTGGCCTGTCCACGAACATGCAGGCTTGGACCACCTTGGCTATCCATTTTCTTGCATGCAGTCTGTCAAGACATGCGCAAGCCCTCAAACACCTTCCCAAAGTGATCCAGCATCTTGGAACATACGTGTAGCTACGTCTCCTCCCAACGAGCAAAGGAAAGGACATCATGAAAAACCAGTCAAGCTCCTCATGTGACTATATAGATCTGGCATTTGCATCGAGCCAAGCCCAAAAAGCAAGTTTCAAGCCAGAGTCACGTGAAACTGAGTTCTCACCTTGTGATAGAGGAACTGATTGCTCACGATGTCGCGGAACCTCGGACACAAAGTTGCGGCCCAAAGGGGGGTGGCGAAAGCTAGGCAAAGAACCTGGGTTCCCACCCTCCTTGCTAAAGCAAGACAGACTCCAGCTAGCTACAGCTAGCTTTCGTGATATCTATCGACCACGACATATGCTTTTACTTCTGGCAACTCTCTATCGCTAACCATCCTTAGATCCAACAGCTCCAACATCGCGACTCACTTCGCTGCGCGAAATTCACTCGCGTCGTCACTCGCAGGCCGTGGTGCGTCGCGTTCCCTTCGCGCCTCTTTGTTGACGCGATTTGAAAGTTCCACAGAGCCTGCCGGAAGAACGAGAGCGGCTCCGCGCCTGGTCTTCAAAGGTCTGGAACGCCCATTGTTGCCTTTTTGGGCATCTCAAAGACTGACTGTACTTTCTTTTTCTTCGCTCTCGTGAAGAGCGGTATATGTTGTGTCCTAGATCCAAGTCACATGAAGCCTGGTCTTGAGTACTTCTTTCGATCAAGTTGTAGGTTCCTCTCTCCTTAATGTCTTGCGTGGGATGTTGTTTCAGTTGTTTCACAATAAATGTTCCTAGTAGCTTCTTGTTCCTGGTAGTAAGGCCAGGAGCCCCGTTCGTAGCGTCCGATCGCCGTTCGTAGCGATGCCAGGAGCCCCGACCGTAGCTTCTTTGCTCATAGCCTTTGCCACAACCCTTGATCGCTTCTGCAGAAGAATGCCGGGCCTTGGCCGAAAACTCGGACTACGTCGAGAAGCCGATCGGATGTGAAGGCCGGATCCGTTTGCATCGATTTTGAATCACAATGTGATACTTTTGTGCCTGTCTGCTCTAGCATTTGAGGAAAGAGGCTTTACAGCTTTATATACAATAATTTGATGTTGGGCACCCCAGTAAAGCCCCGGAGTCCAAGTAACTTTTGCAGTCGAGCTTTGCTGTTGAACAATCGGCACACTTGGGGATGACCTCACGTGCGCGGGGACGACTCACGTCCCAAATCAAAGGCATGCGACCAAATTGTGCAGCTTGAAAAAGGGCGGAAAGGGTCACCTGTTAAGCATTTGTTTTTCATACACCGCACCTATAGCGCACATCTGCATGCACGTCTTGATGTGTTCTGGGCAGTCCTGCACACAAAGGCGGCCTTCAACTGCTTTGAAGCTAAAATGGAGAGGCATGGAGAGGCTTGCTGTCACAAACCAATCCGAACAAACAAAGAATTAGAAAGTAAGTGGAGGCCAACGCTAGCCATCGCTACTAGGTTGGAGGCTATCGCCAATAGGCCGTTCTCAAGTACAGTAACCTTCAAATTTGCTTCCCGATAGTTTGGATCTTGTGAGGCATTGAATTGATTTCCCATCCCAGAACGCCTCTATTCTGCACCGGCGGCGATGTCGCATGTGGATACGACATCTTCGGCATCTGCAGTGACGTCCTGATCTGCAAGAGTCACAGGAGGGCCAAGTACCTAGCAATGGCCTCCACCTTAATAGCAATGGCCTCCAGCCTACCAGCGATGGCCTCCAACCTTTGTTAGAGAAATGCGCTGCGTAGTGTCGCATCGCATCGCTTCCGGAGCTTTTGCAAGCTCCTCCCTCCTCTGGGATGTGTTTCACAGCCCAGCCTGGGCACTCCCTGCTGCACTCCCATAGGAAACTGTGATGCAGTCATTCCCATAGGAGCATGTGATGCAGGCCTCCCAAACTCAAATAAAACACTCACATAACAGCAACGAAGCAAGCGAAGCAAGTCTCCGCCAATGTCTTCAGGCCCACGTTAGCCTTCACATGCTGCTAGTCTCTTGGTCTCCTCTGGTGTCTTAAAGAAAACAGAAGTGAAAAGAACATGCATCCTTTCTTAATCTCTTTGTAGTTCTATTGTCTCACTTCTATGATCTCAGAATTAGTTCCTTCCTTTCTTAATATAATTTTCGTTCCTTTGTTTCTATTATCCCCATGTTGACCTTGGTCTCTTTTGGTCTCTTGTGGTCTCTTAACCCCGACCAACCGGAGGTGAGACATCCCAGCCTGGGTGAGAAAGCTTTCATCGGTGCGAGGTGAGGCGATGGCAGTCGTGTGCTACTCAAAGACTTGAGACATAAGCTGCAATGCACCATCGCGCAGGGAAGAAACACCAATTCAAGGTCATGGATGGAGGAACACGGACAGGAACAAGGAGATGCAAGGGGCCACAATAATGACATTCCTTTAGAAGTGCTACATGCACGCACGCACACGCCAAGCACCTGTGAGGTAGGTTGCCGGACAGAAAGACCTTATATAAAGGAGTCCGTCTAAAATGCCTGTCTAGGACTTTCACATCCCCAGTCGGGCTCAGTGTGGCAAGGCGACGCGCAGCCAAAATCTGAACATTCTTGCTAAAGTTATCTATACACTTACAATATGTTAGTAGATATATCAGCGAATGGCCTCCAACCTAGTAGCGATGACCTCCATCCTAGTTATATTCATCCAAGTGGTTTGGCACTGGGACCTTCACATGCTTGAGGGTGAGTGTGAGTCTCCGGCTGACCAAGACGAGCCGTTGGCTCGTTGGAGTCTCCGATCACCGGTTGTCCCAAATGGTCGGCCAAGGCCGCTTCCCTTTCAACATCAACAATCTTCCTATATAAAAGTGTTTCTTCCCGCTTACTCCACGGTTGCCCGGTTACCTGGTTGAGCTGTTTCTACCAAAAAATCATACAGAATACATACTCAGACTCTGATCTGTTCATTTTGTCTTGAATCACTGAGATTTTCTTAAACATCTGCAGTTTTTTCTTTCAGGTTCCTTTCCTGTTCAACTCTTGAGCCCGGTGTTCCCACTTGGTTCGGCAACCCACACCCAGAAACTTGGATACAGTATGTCCCAACGTTCGTGACTGGCTGGTTCGGCCTCGGAACTTGGATGGGAAAGCCTGGAGACATGACAAAAATGACGTGGCACCGAGATCCTTCCCCATGCCTGTTGAGGAGTCCAACTCCCATTTGCCGGTTGTCAGCTGAACATATATCCACCTTGGGTGCCAAACCTGTGAAATTCCACCATCCGTCACCTTCTACGTCATGTCAAGCCCAAACTAAATTGCGATCTATGTACGATTATGTCCAGATTCGACATAACAAATAAATGCCGCTGATGTGGTAAGAGCTCCATCTCAATAACATGCATACCAACGCTTTACCAACGCCCTGTATTTTGCGCAGTGGCGCCAGCAGAGTGTCAAAGACACCCGGGAAAAAAGAACATAGCCAGCAACAGTGAGAACACAAACTTAGCTAGATTGAATGTGGAACATGACAAAAACCGATCCAGAATATATCTATGGAAAAAACATATTTAAACCTTGGGCTTCTCACTCATCCAGTGGTTCAGCAAGAAAATCTCAATCACCCGATTCCATCGGCAAGCAGGTTATGAAGCGCGGTGACTTGCGGGATGCTGTAGACATCTGCATTTTTGGGATGTTCTGCATGTTTGCTGGGATGTGCTTCAGATCTGACATACATATATCCCAAAGAACACTTGAAAAACATACTTGTCCTCAGGAACGAAACGTTCTCAGACTTTCGGACCAATCTCCACTTGCTGTCATAGCTGGGGGAGCATCAAGTAGCTCTCCCATGAACGCGCCAAGGCACCAGCGTGCCCGGCGGCAACACGCCCAACTCGCTGATGTTGCGGACCTCATCGTCATAGATCCAAGGATGGCCCATCTGCCTTGGATCTCATTTTGAAAAGGAAGTGAATTAGAAGTAGTAACAAGTGCATCGCTACTAGTAACAAGTGCATTACTGCTAGTAACAAGAAGCTACTAGTGGCTTCTAGCTACTATACTGAACGTAGAATACAACCTTCAAATAGAAGTCGAGACCATCTTAATCTTACTATCTCTTACTTTTGTCTTGATAAGGTTGTCACTTTTTGATTCCATCTGGACAACAGTCGAGTATGCAGGAGGGTGACAATCAGTGGTTTGAGATGGTCTGAGACATTGAGGAACCAGTTCTCCAAACAAAAAACATTTGGATCGTCCCACTTCCAAACAGCTCAGGAGTGGATCGTCCATTGGACGGAACTCGTCTTCAACTCCAACGATCCATTTGTTCCAGCTTTCAAGCTGCAGCAGCAATTGCCTGGGGAACTCCTAGCGGATCGGGGTTTGAGGAACCGTGAGCTTAGTGAGGAGAGGACTTGGTGTACCAACCATAGAGCAACCAGATTGGTTTTCCTCTTGCACATTTGGACCACAAGGGCCAAGGCTGAATCATGTTGGTCGATGATTTGCAGGAACTTGAGGTGTTTGGCGACGTTTGGGTGGACATTTTTCGGCCCAGTCTGACAGATTGTTCACACTCGGGATCAGTTGAAGTGCCACTACACTAGCTATATTCAAGATGCATCAAGAATTACAGTAGTATACGTTCACGAGATGTAGGGTTCCATCCCTTGACTGTCCCGTGCATCAAGGCTTGATCACCAAAGAAACACAAAGAACACCTTGCAAACAAACAACCAATTCCCTTGACACATGTCTTCCGGGAACGCACAAATCAAACAAGAGGAACATATTGGCACCGCTCAGCACAGCGGTGTAATCGATGGTTTTTCAGCGACCGTTCTCGGTGATCAAGAGGGATCAACGCCAATTTATGGACAATGCTCCAATCCATGAATGATGTGTGACTGGATGTGCTTGAGAAACACACATAGCAATGATGTGCCCCAAGTTAAGATGGGCATGTTTTGTTCTCCCCGTTTTGGGTTCTATGTTGACTGTTTGGTGGAGGCCTTCTTTTTTTTTACACGTTTCAGTTTTTTTTTGGATCCGTTTTAGGGTTCTTTCTCGACCCGATTTTGGGGTTGTTTTTTTACCCGATGATTCAATAAGGCCATCTGAGGTGAAACCAGCCTAGGGTGAGATGAAACAGGCTCAAACGACATGAGGAAGGTGCCAACTGAGGTCAAAGGAATTGGATGGAATTGGGATTCCAACAAAGGAAGTGAACAGGTCTTTGTCTGCAATTCGCCATGAAGTCATCAACGAAGTGAACAGTTCCACGACACCCAGTGCCTGCAGCTTTCAGGACACTTTCAATTGGAAGAAACTCCTTAGCATTTCTTGAGCCTCTGCCACACATAGTTCTGCCACAAATCCAATTCTGCATACTTGGGCACCGCCTCCCAACACATGTAGTTTAATAAACCTAGAAGCCATGGCCTCCTTCTTGTCTCCTCCTTCAAATAAGCCATCGGTCGAGTCCGTGTGCCTTCTTGGTCGCCTCAGGGGCTTTCTCAGTCCGTTCGCCCAAAGAGGAGAGCGCACATCGACGGGAACACGTTCTCATCGACCCTCCGTTCCACAGATCCTTCCCCTCCGGTAGATGAGGTTGCCAAATCTCAGGCTCAGGGTGGCCAAAGATTCTGGTGAGGAAGTCAAGACAACGCCTAAATCCCAGAGTGGGTGTCAAGTTGAGGGTACTCGTAGTGTCTTATTGAGCAACTTGGGATTGTGATGCTGTACAGGTGCCCGGGCACCATGCATTCAACAGCACTTCCCCCGTTCCTCGGAACTGGCCTGGTCCAACAGCTTCGAAAAAAACGACGCACAGCCAAACAGGGCACACCTGATTTCCAATAGATGGCATAGTACCTTAGTATACCTTAGTACCTTCGTAGCATCACAGCAAGCAGAATGACCGGTGGCCAGGGTCTCCAAGACCCACAGGTATCCTGTACGTTTTGTGTGACCTACTCCAGCTTGTCCTGAACACTCTACAGCACCTGATGCGACTTGCTGTTCCACCAAAGAAGCAAACACTGCGAGAGGGAGCAGCGGCGAAGGTGCGCGAGATCCTGGATGTAGGGTTTTCAAGGACAAATAGGAAGCAACAACTGTGTTTCACAAGGAGATATGCGATGAATAGTGAATGTCTGATATTTAGTTTGGATATTTGAACTAATTTCCACAAGTGGACAGGCGTGGAACTCGGTTGGAGAACATAGAAACCCTCGTTGATCTATTCCGGTCACAAGGCCGACCGATGCAAGTTAAAACAACAACAAAACTATTATAGCCAAGGTAGATCAAGGCAGAAGAATGTGCAATTAACGAGCCCCACATGGCTGGGAGTCATAGCTTAACTTTGTCCACCAATACGGCCCTAGAGGAAAGGACATCTTGCCACTCGGCCCTCATCTCCTGCAGAAGCTGAGCTTTTTGATGCATAGCTGCATCGCCGCTCGCTGAAGCGGATTCATCTGGCATCATCTCAAGACTGTCGTGGAGCCATCGCAGGGAACGCTTTGCTTTGCTAAAAAAGCTTCAGATCCAATGACCACCAATTGGTTCTTACTGATGGACATCCTGCACCACCTCGGACCTCGGTGGGGAAAATGCCCAGTCTTTACCCCGTCTTGGTTCCTTCTTTTTCTAAGACATGAATTTAGGAACCCAAATAGAATGAGTAGTGCATGAACTATCCTGCGTCCTAGCTAGTAGCACGTTACCTAGTATATACAGTAGTTTGTTTTAAGTGGCCGCCTACTCAATTAAGAAAGCTGTGTCTTTCTTGTTGAACAATTTCTTATCTGAATAGATCTGAATGGATCTTATCTGTGTCGATGACTGGACTTTTAGCTGTCGGTTCCCCAACTGATCCCTCCAAACAAACCCAGCAAGGGCCGATGTGACGAAGCCGATGCTGCACCAAAGTTGTGCGATGAAGGCATCTCTGATTGTTCAAAACTTCAGTGCAGGATATCCAAGGAGAAGATCTAAAGTCTAAAGTAAACGTTTTTTTTTTTTTTTTTCCGAAAGCTAGGAGGTCTCTCACAAAGTGTGCAGTTCTTGTTGGAAGGCGTGTAACAAAGTATATACCTTTACAACCGACTAGTAGATAGACTCTAATGCAGTAAAGGTTGATGTCTTTTACTGGTCCATTCTGAGGCGTCTCAAATCTGGATGCTGGAGGGCTGTCAGCTTTGGTCTTCGGCTCGAGCCTCAAGCGGCTTCACAGCAATGTTTACTTGTTGCAATATGTTGCAATGGCAGGGGGAGGTGAGGAGAGGAGAGGAGAGGAGAGGAGGATGAGAAGAAGAGGAGGAGAAGAGAAGAAGAGGACTGCTCTGATAAGATCTAACAACCCTCACCTGGCAGGTGAGGAACAATCGGAGAAGAATTTATAACATCTAATTTGTGGCACTCCCTGGTAAATCAACCAACACCTTAAAAACAACAGCTTGAAAGGGTCTCTTGCCTTCTCACTCCATTGTAGCTCGACTGTTCAGTTGCGCCACAAGTGACATCACGAAAGCGACTGAAGACAGGAAAGGCACCTTCGATAGCCGCGTCTCTTCCGGGGCAACTCCAGGCGTCTTCCATAGCTATGGTAGTTCTTCTATAGTTCTTGTTCATGGTCACGATAAGAACGGATGTGAAACGATGTGAACATGTGGCGAAAGCAACTACTCCAGTCAGAAAGACAACTGGGAAGCACCTCAGGACATTTGAAGTCAGGCTATATCCTGGAATCCTCTGGAAGGACCTCCGACGTCGATCTCCACCTCTCCACCGCCACAATACGGCGATCCCAAAGGGGGCCACGTCTGGGCGACGTGGGCCAAACGTGAGCCGATTCTGGTGCCAGAACCGCGTGGTACGTGAGCCGATTCTGTGCATGGTCCATTTTCTATTGACTGAAATGCCTGGTGCTCCATGGACATGTAAATCCTGTGCGAAGCCGAAGCCGCAAAGCTCTGGCTGTGGCTATCCAAGACTGCCACCAAAATAGAGGATGCCAATGTAGCTAATTAGTGGAGTCGCCTCTTGTAAAACTAAATGTCACGGCAGTACCAAAATCAAAGCTGCTCCATCAGGACAAACGATTTTGAGAAAACATAGTTCTTCGTGCCACTTGATTCACGCAGTTTGTCTGACCTCACGGCATGTCTTTAAAATTCACGTTGTCAAAATGGAGGCCCACTCCAAAGTCCCCGACGCAGGAAAACTTGGTGAACTCGTGAAGCAGCAATAATAATCAACAAGCATCAATAATAACATTATTAACTATATAATGGAATTTCGTCACTTCGACTTCTTCGAGAAGAACTTCCGACCAGAATGGTCTGTGGAAGAACACAGAAAAGTGGGGCTTGTGGCAAGGGTTGTTGGAATGTTATGATGGAATGCCAAAAGAACCTCTGGTTGAGATACTCACCTCGGCTCCACAACCTTGAAAAAAAATCATTGCAAAACCAATCATAGCACTTCATAACCGTGATGAAGGTAACCAGGTAGCGGAGGAAGTGGAAGACAAATTAAACTCATTGGAGTATCGAAAACCAGGGGCCTCTTGCTCCACGGCGCCTCTTCCTCCACGGGGCCTCACCTCAATCCACACGGCCTGTGCCAATCCACACCTTGGCATCTGACCCAGCGGACATTGGTGGAGCCGACGGCTGATCTGAAAAACCGCTGTGGTGGTAACCTTCTGGACATTAGCATAAGGAATCTACTATAAATGGCCTCCAACCTAACAGCTTCCAACCTATTTGGAATGGCCTCCACCCTAGTAGCGATGGCCTCTAACCTTCTGGACATGGAATCTTCCGAGTTTTCAGCCATTGCAGTTGTCCCGCCAGCATGTGATGCACGAGCACGAGCACGAGCAGCACTTCTTTTCCCATTTTTTTCTCACAGTGTGCCCCATGTCGTCTCCCAGCTACAAGTTTGCAGTGAGCCTCTGTAGTAGATGGCCAACAAAATCGGACAAGGAATATCACCCCTCTGCAAAAAGTGGGTTGATCCGCCTCTGCTCTTTTAGGCAGCATGACAGGTTGCTTTGCAACTTGCCTGTAAAGTCGAAGGCGGTACGAGAAAACCAAAAATGCGGAGATTGCACAACCACCAAGGATTCAGGAATTCTCAATCCGAGCCTCAAGCGCCAAAGGGCTCTCATATCCTGGCTCTGCTGTTGGTGCCCTATGTTTCGTCTGTTTGGATAGATTTGTGGCTACTCAGGGTAGCAATTGGACCTGCCAAAGTTCAGCCTTGCGATTATTCTGACTCACTTTGCTGCTTGAGAATCCTTGAATCCATGGCGGATCCCCAGTCTTCAGGCTTTAGGGCTTGCCTAAATTGCATTTTTTTACATGTCCAAGTGTGTCGGCTTGGTGTGATCCAATTCCCAAACATTGCAGTGGTCTGACGGTAGGTCTGACAGCGTCATGCAAAGCTCTGCTGTGCTCTGCTCACATTGCTCAGCCACTGTTGGTCAGGTGGCTCTTGTGAATCATATGCTTGCGATCCCCCCACGGCGCTCCAGGATTTTTCAATATATTGGTAGCGTTTCTCGGCCCCAGGTGTAGACGAAATATCTGCTCCATCGGTCAAGTTGCTTAACTCAACATAGTCTGGCCTTGGCTCTGCTGGGATGATGGTGCAACTCCCATGTTTGGCGACGTCACAATATCAACGTAGACTGTCCTTCACTTTCCTAAACCTATATGTCTTGCCCTTCTGCCTGCAGCTGACGTGTCCTTTTCTGGGGCACACGTGGATCTGTTGTTGGCCGTCTTGGCCAAGGTGCAGCTGGAAGCAGGCATAGGCATTCGAATGGAAATGTGGATGGCTTTGACAACACAGTGATTTTGACGGAGGTCTGAATCCAGCCTTACTAGTGGTGGTGGGGTGGAGGAGGTTGACCCTGATGAGCTGCAGTCATGGTCAAGCATGTGAGTGGCATGTCTTGCCCTTCCGCCTGCAGCTGACGTGCCCTTTTCTGGGGCACAGGTGGATCTGTTGTTGGCCGTCTTGGCCAAGGTGCAGCTGGAGGCATTCGAATGGCAATGTGGATGGTTTCGACAACACAGTGATTCTGACGGAGGTCTGAACCTGACAACACAGTGATTTTGACGGAGGTCTGAATCCACCCGTACTAGTACCAAACTTCCCAATCTTCCTAGAGCTGCAGGGATTGCGGACGGGCGCAGGTGCTCGCCAACGGTGTCCCAGGATGGCACTCAAAAGATTGAAAATACCGTGCAAGAAAAACTGTGTGAACTGGTGTAGCTGTTGGACTTCATACACGTTGGTGTTATGAGCTCCATGGTAATCATTGGGCGCGAAACCGGGCGCTGTGATCAGGTTGTTTTGCAGGCTTAAGGCGGCTTCATCTAAAATTGCATTAAGCAACACGACCGCTAATCAAAAAAGATCTACGCAACGTCAACTTGATACACAGAGTTAAAGTTCGTGGCAGGACTACGTAAAACAAAGGCCTAGAGACAAGCGATGACTAAAATCAAGACGCTCAAGGTGAGCATCATTCGACCACGAATTCGGTCGCCTAACCTGGTTAGTGAACTTCTCACCGGGCGCTCGTCAAGGCCATTGCAGCGCGGGTCTCTCGCGTCTCTGCGGCGCAGGCGCCTGTTGACTTAAAGCTCTTTCAGAAGTTCTGCGTTTAGCAAATTGGTTGAAGGGAGCATCAGCCCTGTAGCTCCTGGCAGCTTCAAACCTTCCCAGCCAACGTCCAAGTAGCGTGCACCACGAAGCGGCCCACCGCTCACCACAGCTTTCTTAAACTGTTTTTGCGGATGACATCTTCAACACTGGTTGGTTCGCGCACCTCTCTGGTCACTATGTGCTCTTTTGGGATTCGGCTTGCGAAACACCCGAGGCAGCACCAGCAAAAATGAAAACCTTGCAAGTAGAGCCTTCAATCTTGCGGCGGTGTCAGGTGGAAATGTCAATGCAATCTGTTCAGCACGCGCCACTTGGATGTAGTGCTCTAGTGACCTAAGGCGAGCCCATCCAGCAAGGAAACGAATCCGGTTGATCTCGGTTCCCTCGTCTACAAGCCAGGAGCTCCAGATTGCCAACGCCACAAACGGCTTTAAACATTCTTCTGAACTTCGGTGCACTAGCGGGCCATTGAGCTGCGCCTGATTTTGGGCTGCGAGTTGTCAGCCAGCCTAGCCAGTTGACGGCACCACAGTCGTGACTTGCAAATCATTGCCGCAAGCAAGACCAAGAATATTGGAGGTCGGAAACTCGAAGGCTGCTGTTCCTCCCAGTTTTTCAAAGACTTCCAACGTATTCTGCAATTTGCCCTTCAGTCGTGGTCTGAGCAGTTGCATCAACAGAGCACAACGCTTTGCGATTCTCAAGCTGGACTTTCGCCCAGCAGCTGCCATGTGACTTACGTAAAGCTCCAGCGCCTCGGTTTTCAGAAGTCTCTCGACATCTAAGCCACCCT